ATGAGTGTACTATAATGTACCCCCAAACCCTATTCTAATTAAGGCTGAGCGCCGTAGACCCGTAAATTTTCTAATTTCTCGTATTGGTTAACATATTGTCCTAGTTATAATCTTTTTGAGGGCTTCTAAAATCGACACCTAGTAGAGGTCGGACAAACCCAGTAGAAGTATCTTTTTGTAGTCCCAATTTCGTTCTGAACATCCAGAAATCCCCACATCACCCCTCGGCCGTAAAACGCGAAGCCCCAACCCTAAACCTTCAGCCTTAAAACCTTCCAAACTAAGCCCTAAAACCTTGAAGGCTCAAAGCCTTGAACACAAAGCCTTTCAGTTCCTGATCTGGTTTTCACCGGGCTCTGGGCTTACACGCGGGTTTTAGGGTTTAGGGTTTTGGGGTTTAGGGGTTCCTGCCGGGTTCTTCCTCGCTTGGATCGGGCCCGGAGTTTTTTTTCTTCGTTTGGCTTGGCTCGGCTTGGCTTGGCTTTGCCGCGCTCAGCGTGGCTTGGCTTGGCCTGGCCTGGCTCGGCTTGGCCAGACGAAGAAAAGAGCCCGGTTTTTTTTTAAATCGTTTGGCTTGGATCGGTTTTTTTCTTCGTCTGGCTTGGCTCGGCTTGGCTTGGCTTGGCGTGAAAGAAGAAAGGAAGGAATGAAGGAAGGAACGAAGGAAAGAAGAAGGGAAGGAAGGAAGGAACGAAGGAAGGAAGGAAGGAAAGATAAAAGGCAGAGAGGACGGAAAGACAAGGAGTACCAGTCGTTGTCGTAGTTGTAGTACTATAGTCGAAAATTTACATAGTTTATGTGGAATGTATTTATGTATATATACAGGTATTTAGCAAGTCTGTTCATATAGTATATTGGAATTTAACATAGTCTATGCAAAACAGTACAAACTGTATACTTATATAGTGGGTGTGTGTGTGCCCATAAGTGTTTAGTATATACATAGTACATATACATATATATATATATATACATACATACATATACAGTACGTGTACAATATATGTATATACATTATACATAGTTTATATACCGTTGTTTTAAGCCGTGTGCAAGGTTGCATGACAGCCTAGGAGTCGTTCTTGAAACCCGCGATGCCTGAGATAAGTTTTTTCGAAACAAAGCACCGTTCACCTTGTGACACGGGTTCTTGCAATTGGGAACCTGCGCCGGGCATGCGAGAGTGCGCACTTGCTTGACAGCACATATGCGTTTTTTGTTTTCACCGAATACGCGACCATCATAATTGCACATGTGGGGGGGGGCTGCGCCCCCCCAACCCCCCCGCTGTTTTAAGCCGTCTGCAAGCTTGCGAGACAGCATAGGAGTCGTTTTTGAAACCCACCCTGCATAATATGTGCGTTTTTGAAACAACGCCATTCACCCTGCGAAAAAACTGTTTGCAAATGGGAAGCCTGTCCCGCACGTGGACAGTGCCAAGCTTGCATGACAGCATATATGCGTTTTGTCAAAAACCAACCATGCTAGCATCCTGATTGGCTGCCCCCTTCAACCCCCTTCTCCCGCCCCCCATATGATTTTGTTGTAAATCAGCCATGCGAGCATCGTGATTGCAAGGGGGGGGGCTGCGCCCCCCCCAACCCCCCCGCTGTTTTAGGCCGTGTGCAAGGTTGCATGACAGCCTAGCAGGGACCCAAGTCCGCCCGAGCCAAGCCAGACGAAGAATAGAGCCGAGCCAAGCCAGACGAAGAAAAACAAAAACCCCTCCACCGCTTGGATCCTTGCATGTTCTAGCGGTATCGACGAGTGCGGTACTTTGCAGTCAGGCACATGTAGGCGGAATCGACTCCGGTGTTGCGAAATTTGATTGTTGTCATGCTTGCTGGGTTCCAGGGCCATACCATACACCGATGTACATGGGAACAGATGCAAGTGCCTCCACTTGTGCACGTGCCCACAGAACAAGCATAAGGATAAATGCAATATGTATATATATATATATATATACACACAGTCATATGCATACTCACATACATATAGTATGCATGGGCCTATGGATATGTATATGTACACGTATATGTATATGTATGTGTGTGTATATATATATATATATATGTATTTGTATGTGTAAGTGTATGTGTATGATTACGTATGATTATGTATATGCATGTGTATAGGTGTATGTATTTGCATATGTACATATACATGTATAAGTGTATGTAAACGTACATGCGTGGGTGTATGTATCTGGACATGTCATGTGCGTGTATATATGTGCCTGTACCCGTGTTTTCGAGGGTGTACGTAAATGTATGTGTACTTGTCTATGTAAAGGTATATGTATCTGTGTATATGTATATAATACATCTGCCTGCTTATCTATCATGTATGGATGTATATGTGTATGTCTATGTCCGTATCCGTGTCCGTGTCCTTGCCCATGTCCATGACTATGTCTATGCACGGCTGGATGTATGGGTGTCAAGACGTATTTTGATGTCATATGTATATATATATATATATATATATATATATGTCTGTATACGCACAGACAAGCGGACGTAGTCGTAAATGTGATATGCATCCATGCCGACTCAGGTACGAATGCGTGCGCCCATCCATCCATACGTGCATTCATGAAGCGGCACGCAAACGCGCGTACGCACCCACATATGGGTAATTGTCAAAATTAGGGTCCCTTTTTGGGTACCCTAAATATTAGGTGCCGTATTATGATAGGGACCCAAAAAGGGACCCTAGTTTTGACAACCACCTACATATCTCTTCGGGCATGCTGGCATCTAAGGGTTTCCGTCTCTAGGGTTCTAGAGTCTGGGGCTTGCTTGGAGGGCAAAGGACTTAGTATGTTTATATTTCTTATAACCCCAATTAGGGTACTTATCTATACTTGGAGGGGCAAGGGACTTAGTAAGTAGGTTATATGTAGAGTTATAAGTGCCCTAAATGGAGGGGGACCCCAATTATAACCCTACTTATAAACGACTTACTAAGTCCAATGGCCCTCCAAGTAGACCCTAAACCCTAAACCCTATAGATCCCCTTTAAGGAACCCAAAAGAAACCTTTAAGAGGTTTAGGGTTTAGAAGTCGAAGCTTCGGGATTCAGTGCATGTTGGGGTTGAGGGCTTGCAGGGTTTGGCAAGGGTAGTTGAAATATTGAGGGCTTCTGGGTTCTGGGTCGACTTGCTGCACCACTGAATAGATTTAATGATTTCCTACAACCCGAAACCCTAAACCCAAAACCCTAAACTCTATAAGCCCTAAACCTTAAATCCTAGACCGTAAACCCTAAACCTTATAAGCCCTAAACCCAGTCTTGGTCTTGTCTTGTGCAGGACCGCGAGTGGCTGGTGCGTTATTCGGCCGTTCAGGTCCCTCGGGGTCATGTGGTTGATGATATAAATCCTGGGGGTTCTTGAAAGGGTACCTTTTAGGGGTTCCTCTAAGGGATCTATAGGGTTTTCGGGTTTAGGGTTTGGGTCCTAGTGGGACTTAGAGAGCCTGATACAGGGGCTTGAGTAACGAGAATAGGGTTTCGTTAAAGGGATCCCTTTAAGGGTTCTATAAGGGATCTATAAGAGTACTATAATATAGGGGCCTTAATATTGGTAGCGGGCGCACAGGGTGCCACGCGACTTGCAAGCACTATTCGTGTTTTTACTGCACATTTCCAGGTTTTTGCTGCTGTTCAGGACTGGGGGGGTTGGGGCGGGGATGGGGGGGATGGGGGGGAGGGCTTAATAGCGTGCGGCCGTCGCGTATCCTCTCGAGTGCAAATTTGCGAGCCGGTAACGATGATGGTTATGATCATGGTCATGGTCATTATGATGAAGACTAATATGATGAAAACAATGATAAAACTCCTAATGACGGTGATACTGATGTTGTTAAAGGCAATAATGACGGTCGTCATGATGATGAAGATGCTTGAGATGGTAAAATGCTGATGACGGTAACGACGAAGATTATGTTCATGATCTTGGTCATTGTGATGTTGACTAATATGAAAAAAATGATGACAAAAGTATTATTTACTGTGAAAATGATGTTGAGAATGACAATGAAGAACATGATCAATATTATAATGATGCTGATGTTGAAGACAAAGACGATGATGATGCGGATAATGCTGCTGATGTTATTGCTATACATATTGTATTCTACTACATTACAAGCTTCGTGTCCAAGAAACTCGAAGATTTCGGCAATAATTTGCCCTGAAAGGCATTACCACAAGTGGCGCGGGCCCCGGTGAAACTCGCGAATGGTTCGTGTTGCTGTCATGGTCGAATCACTGTCAGCAAGCAGATGTGTAGATAAAAACTGGCTGGCTGTGCGTGTATGTACATGTCTATGTCCATGTACACATATATCAAAAACCGTAAACTTTAAACCCCTAGTCGTGGCTTGTGGCACACATCCCTCCTTCTCCTCAGGGCTTTGGGTTGGAGGCGAGGGCCGGGCATGCTACGAAACAGAGTCAGGTTCAGATTCAAGGTTTAGGGTTTGGAGCTTTCTGATGCTGCTGCTGCTACTACGACGACGACAACTACTCCCACTCCTCCCCCTACTACTGTTGCTACTACTGCTGCTGCTACTGCTACTGCTACTGCTGCCGCTACTCCTCCTCCTGCTGCAGCTGGTGCTCCACGTTCACCGTTTCTACCTCTCATACTACACAGGTACCACAGCAGGTCGAATCATGTGAGCCGCATGCTCCGTAAGCCTAAAGTCAAGCCCACCGTTTCCAGCACTGGAGCCAGAAGCCCACACCGCAAGCTGAAGGCACCAAGCCCAAAGCTCAAGCCTGAAGGAATCCCCAAGCCAATCGACAGCCGCTTGCTCAACCTGCCACAAACATTTCCTTTTTCAGTCTCCTCTTCTTTTGCACTGCAGCGGCAGTGACCTGGTTCACTGTTGGACCCCAACCCCTGTCTTCCGAAAGGTCCACGGAGGCCCAGCAACGCAAGAGCCCAGGTGGACACGGGCGATGCGCGGGCGATCGCGGTACTCATCGACATGCTCGGAGACAAGGAAAGACACCCCCGACACCCCGTCTCGCTTAAGTCTCCCAATTTCCCAACCTTGAGAGGAGCATCGTGTCCGGAATGCTGTGGTGGAGTCCCTCTCGGAGGTCGGGATTGTCCTGGTAAAGTGGTCATAACCGGGCGCAACTCTCAAAGCTGGACAGTGGACAGACAGCCAAAGCGCGAAATGCAAGCATGACACGCAGAACCAACTCCTCAACCACTGGGGCACCGGAACGAGAACAGGAGCAGTTGGAGTCCCAGGGGGTGTGGGATGTTAGGGTCAAGGGGGTCAAAGGTTGGGGTTTCGGGTTTTAGGCTTAGGGTTTAGGGTTTAGGGTTTTAGGCTCAGGGAACCTCAGACTCGACCACAGTCGGAGGGCCAGGGGACTTGAGTCGGTTTTTTGGTAGGCTCAGAATTCCGGCAGCTCCATTTAGGGGTACTTGTATCTCTGCTTAGAACCTACTACAATGCACTACAAGGAAAAAACCCTAGTATACTACAATATACAATAACTAATATACTACATAACTCTGCTTAGAACCTACTTACTAAGGCCCCTGGGCCTCCAAGTAAACTCCAAATCTTCGCCTGGCAGCTGCGCCTGCGCGCGCGCTTTTCAAACATGTTTTCCGTGCATACTCGATGGCCCAGGGTGGTCGTTAGCAAGTTTCCTAAACCCTAAACCTTAAACAGAGAGGAAAAGGGGCCGAAAAAACAAGAACCTTAAACAAACCCTCAGATCGAGTCCTAAGCCTTGAGCCTAAAGCTTTCAGATCGAGGCTTGAAGTCCCAACCCCAAACTTCAAGAGCCTCTCGGGCAACAGAGCCCAGAGCTTTAAACCCCTCAAGTTTCAACCCTTCGATCCCCTAAACCCCTAAACCCCTAAACCCCTAAACCCCAAACCCCGAAGCCCGAGCCCTGAAATCTTCAAAAATGGCGAGCACCTAAGCTCTGAAACCAGAAACCTTCTCGCAGGGCTCCTGCCAAACAAGCAATTTTGAAACACCGGAAGCCCGAATCCCCAAACCATCAAACTTTGAGCCCTCAACCTAAACCTCAAACCCGAAAGCTTAAACCATAAACTCTAAACCTCAAACCCCCAAATCCCTAAGCCCTACAATCAGAAAGCCCCAACACCTCCCCCTTCCCCTGTCGTCATCAAACCCCAAACCGAGACCTTAAACCCCAACCCTAAGCCCTATTGGGTAATCCTTTAGACCAGACAAGCCCCAATAGCAGTCCCCACTTTTCCTTCTCCACTCTCCCTCCCCCTGAACCCTAAACCTTAAACCCACCCCTTGAGCCCTAAACCCTTGGAGGTCGTCATGAAGTACGACCGCGCTGTGCATAAGACTTTGGGCTCCTGCCTTGAGGTGGGGGGCTGGGTTTTTTGGACTCTTGAAAGCCTACCAGAGCCCCTTCAAGGAACCCTGAAAGGAACCCTAAGCCCTTTAAAGGGATCTATAGGGTTCCTTAAAGATAGGGTTTATGGTGTCTATAAGGGTTACTATTAGGGCTATTATAGGGATATGGGGTCTAGGGTTCCTTCACGGGATCTATAGGGTTCAGGGTTTTGGGTACTACTTGGAGGATAGGGTTCAAAGGTTTCCTTTAAAGGGGTCTACAAGGGCCATTCTAGGGATATGGGGTCTGCTTGGAGGATCAGGGGGCTTAGTAAGGTTCTTAAAGGGCTCCTTCAAGGGATCATGGGTATTACTTGGAGGATCAGGGGACTTAGTAAGTAAGGTTATAAGTACCCTAATTGAGGTTATAAGTAATTCTAACTATAGCTACCTTGTTTTCAACCCTTCTTGCTAAGTCGCATGATTGCCGCACGATCCTTTAAGTACCAGATCCCGTAGATGAACCCTTAAAGGAACCCTAAGCCCTTCAAAGGAGCTCCAATTTGGATCTACATGGACTCTCCATGAGCTGCCTTTTTAAGGATTCATACGAGGAACAGGAACTCACAATAAGGCACACGACAGGGCTAGGTTATGTGGGGTCAAGGTAGAGTGCTGAGGGTTGGGCCTTCAACCTCAGACGTACACCCAAAACTCCTGAGCCCCTTAGTTCTGAAAAACCTAGGATTCAGGCTAGAGGGTTTCGGTTTCTTTGGGTTAACATCTCCGGTTCATGGATGTGGGGTTTAGGTAATTCGAGTTGTTTCATGGAAGTACGGTATACTTCTACAGGGACTCGTGGAGGGGGATGACTTACTGGTGCTTGAGTGGGAGTGGGAGTGGATCCCGATAATATTCCTTATATAATCCCCAATAGTAGTCCCTACATTCCCTCCTTCAGTCTCCTTTAAGCAGCAGTAAGATTACTAGTTCTTGTAGTCAGTAACAATTGAATGGTGTTTATAACATGGAGATGGACTGTTAGACCCAGATTACTATTTCTGGTAGTCCTTACAGACATCCCTTCTGGGTCGGGTCCGCCTCAGGATTCTGCAGGAAACTCACACCAGATACTCGGATACATACTAGATAGTAAGGTTTTCAAGAAGGTAGCTATGCTTGTTATTACGTATATCTCCAGTTTAGGTACTTATAACCTGTCCCCTGATCTTCCAAGTAGACCCTAAACCCTAAACCCTATAGATCCGTTTAGGAGCCTTTGAAGAACCGTCACTACGTCCCCTGATCCTCCACGTATGACACAGGCTTCTTGGCATGTTCTTCAAAGGGAGGCTTTGAGGTAGCAGCCGGCTCCAATCCGCAAGTGGGAAGATGACCCTTCAAGCCTAAAACCTAAAGTGTTTAACCCAACACCCAAATCCCAAAACCCCAAAACCCTGAACCTTCAACCCTAAACCTTGAACCGTTAACCTCAACCCCCAAACCTTACCCTAAACCGTAAATCCCCTAAACACCTGCACCGACCCCCCTTAACTCTAAACCCGCTATAGTACAACCCTTATAGTAACCCTTAGAGGAACCCCATTCCCTACTCGTAACCAGACCCTCATAGTACCCTAAGAGATACCTAGAAACCCCTTTAGATCACTTTAAGGAACCCTTTAAAGGGAACCTAACTTCCCCCATTCCCCATCAAGAACCAGACAGTAAACCCCTCAAGCTCCGCGTCCCTAAACCGCTAAACATCCCTAAACCTAAACCGTATAGTAATACCGGTAAAGGAACCCTTAAAGGAACCCCTTAAAGGAACCCTTAAAGGAAACCTTTAAAGGAACCCTTAAAGGAACCCTTTAAACCCTACTAAGAGCCAGTCGTGCCCAAGCTCGCAGGACGAGGATCCCCTGATGCGGAGGATGGACCGGGACCCAGGTCTTCACTTGTAGAGGTTTGCAGGGTTTGAAGGGTGTAGGGGGGGGTTTGGGGGGTTTAGTGGGTTTTAGGGGTTTGGGGTTTAGGGGGTTTGGGTTTAGGTGTTGAGGGGTGGGCCCCAGGTCTTTAGAAGAGTGGGCTCTTGTTAAGGGGTTTAAGTTAAGCTACCATGATTTAGGCTTCCTTTTGGTGATCTTCAAGGGTTCCTTAAAGGTTTCTATGAGGGTTCTTCAGAAGAGTTGCCAGAGACTCCAATATCCTTTAATTAAGGGATATCTTTGAAGTCATATTAGGGATCCTATTATAATTTAAGGTATATTCCTAGTTAAACAATATAGGTCTTCGCTCCTAGGGCTTTGCAGGGTTTAGGGTTTTAGGTGCAGGGCTCTAGGGGTTTAGGGGTGTAGGGTGTAGGGTGTAGGGGTTTAGGGGTGTAGGGTGTGGGGGTGTAGGGGTTTAGGGCTTTAGGGTTGTAGCGGTTTAGGGCTTTAGGGTTGTAGGGGTTTCGGGGTTTCGGGGTTTAGGGAAAAGAGTTCCTTTCCACACCCGTTCATATGGGGGGGTATAAGGGTTTAGGGTGTAGGGTTCAGTGCGGAAAAATTATAGGCCTTTTAGGGGGCTGTGTCTTTTTTCCTTATGGTCCAGGTGACCAACAGAGGCCCATAATTTTGATCAACCCTCATATACCTCGAAGGGCTCCTTCTGAGGGCTTAGGGACCTTCAAAGGGTGGGGGATCTTTAAGGGCTTAACAGGGTGTTGAGGGTTTGGGGTGTGCTTGGAGAATCACGGCGCTTGGTAAGTGAGATTTCAAGTACCTTCATTGGGGGTATAAGTAATTACAAGTATAGTTACCGAATCAAGGACCTTAGATACTAAGTCCCATGATCCTTTAAGTAGGGTTCGGAATAACTAGTACTAGTATACTCCTGTTGGGGTTCCTGTAAAGCTTCCTTCCAAGGGTCGACAAGGGATTTATCAGGGTTCTTTCTATGCTATAGGGATCGGAATACTTTGTAATGCTAACCCCCCTTACACCCCTACAGCCCCTATAGAATGGTTCTGCAACATATCCCCAAAGCTTCCTCCAATCACAAAGATCCCTATAACACTTTGTGATTTTTCAGCTTCGCCACGATTTGGATTCGAAGCTCTGAGCAAGCAGCAGATAGTGAGCATAAAGCCAAAGAGTTTTCACATGGTCTCCTAAACCCTAAACCTAGGATCTAAGCAAGTTACTGTACCACATCACGAATATTCCGGGGGCGACAGCGACGACTGCCGCAAATACCACTGCTGCCACTACTACAACAATGATCCCGTTCATCTGTAGCAAAGGACAACGATCGTTTAAACATGAGACAAGTTTTCATCCACAGCAACAGCACAAAAAGCAAGAGGAGCAACAAGGACGGTGACAAGCAATCACAAGCCGATCAACAGCAGGTATCTCAAACCCGTCAGCTCTAAACCCCCGCCCTGGCCCTAACTGTAAGTCCAGTGCTTCAAGCCCTGTCCAGCAAACCGAGGCTGCTGAAGCTCTTGCAGTCGTTTCCGAGACGGGCGATGAGTGCCTCGGTCTTTCAAGTTTCAGGGTAACAGAGCGGCCTAAATTACCTATACTATTTTGGGGTTCCTTATTATCATGGTATGGCCCCTATATTTCAGGACGAGGTCCTCATACCGGGTGCTGGATTGTTGTTTAGGGGTTTGGGTGTTCAGGGTTTAGGGTTTAGGGTGTTATATAATGCTTCAAGTTGACTTCACGAGAACGTTCAGGCCGTTCGGGGTTGTTACCCAGGCCCCAATAAGTTACCCACCATAGTGACCCTAACAAGTACGCCCTCGAAGGAAGCATCTAGAGGAACATGATTCTGATTTTGAAGCCCTAAACCCCTAAACGCTAAACCCTAAACCCCCTAACCCCTAAAATCTCTAAACCCTAAACCCCCTAACCCCTAAAACCCCTAAACCCCAAAACCCCTAAGGCACTTACTCTTGCAAAGCTTCAAGGCTTTCCTGGGATCTCCAACTCCGACCTCGGGACCGGGGAGCCCAAAGCCTACTTAAAGGATCACGGGACTTAGTAATTAGGATTATACATAAGGTATCTATACATATAGCCCCAACTAGGGTACTTATAACCTTACTTACTAAGTCCCCAGATCCTCCAAGTAAGTCCTAAACTCTGACAAACCGTAAACGAATTGGTGAGGGTTTACAGTAGAAGCCAAAAAGTTGGAAACCCGATAGCCTCAATCCTTAAGAGTCATCCAAAGGGAATCCCAGCACTATTTGGCTTTAATCCGGTTTCCAACTTTATGGGGTTTACTGTAGGGTTTAGAGTCTAAACCTTAAACTAGTTCTAGAATGCCCAGTAGTACCCTTATTCCCTTTTTGTAGTCCTAGGTTCCCTATAGTTACCCAATACCTATTCCTAGGTTATTGGGCATCCTTGGATTGGTGAAACAGGGTTTTAGGGTGTATTGTACTCTACTTGGAGGATCATGGGACTTAGTAAGTAAGGTTATAAGTACCCTAATCGGGTTTATATAGGTACTTATATATGTAGTCACCTTATTTATAACCCTAGTTACTAAGTCCCATGATCCTTTAAGTAATCATAATAAGGAGCCCCCCAAACTAGTGTAGGTAATGATTAAGGCCCCCTGTATTTAGGGGTTAGGGCCCAGGGTGTATCTATAGAACCTTTAAGGAACCTTGCGCACTAACCCTACTAAACATGACCCTTTTGGAGGATCAGGGGACTTAGTAAGGGTTCTTGAAGGGTTCCTTGAAGGGGATCTATAGGGTTTAGGGTTGAGGGTACTACTTGCAGGATCAGGGGACTTAGTAAGTAAGGTTATATTGATCTGAAGAGCAAGCCTGCAGGCCCGGTGCAGCCAAAAGCAAAGGCCAAATCCAAGACAAAGGCCACAAAGGCCTCCAACAGAAGTCTTTCCCGCAAAGAAGACCTGCACACCTACCTCAAGAATCGTTTTTACGACGATTACGAGTGATTGAATTCGGTGCAGAGGGCACGGGTGCTCGATTGTGGCCGTCGGCCTCATCTCGCACCTCTGTGTGTCAGGCCTGTGACGACACAGCTTGTATTATGAGGAACGAGATGTCTTGCCATTGACCCTAATGTGGGGTCATAAGTATAGTTACCTTATTTATAACCATAGTACAAAATCTCAGATCCAGACAGCAAGACCCCTAAACCACGCAAGCCCTAAACCCTGAACAGCACACTCTCCAATGAGCAACACAAGCAAAAACAAACCCTAAGCCCTAAACTCTGCAACCCCTAAACCCCTAAGCCCCTGAACCCTTAAGACACGTTCTCGGGTTCGTCTGCCTCTAACCTCTTGGGGTTTAGATAGTCCTACCGGGTTGCCTTTGTTGCGGGTGGGGGTACTCTCCAAGCTAACAGACCCTTTAAGGAACCCTCTAAGGAACCCTAGTAGAAGAGTTTAAAGAAACTTACACAACCCTTTAAGGAACCCTTGTAGCAACCCTCTGAGGAACCCTTGATAGAGCCTTTCAAACAAAAGCCGAGGTATGTCTGTCTGATGCTCGAAGCACACCTGGACGACCCGGACAAAGCGGCCCAGCGCGCCGTTCGGGAGAGCTCGGAATCTGAGGGTTATGTCTGCTTAGTTTTGGAGCTGTGGGTTTCCTTCTGTATAAGGGCTCTAGCAAGGAGGCTTTTGGGTTCATGGTTTAGGGCTTGCAGTTTAGGGTATTGGAAGTTTTTGTGGTTCGTTGTATTTTTTTAATTGTTATGACGAAATTTCCTACAAGCATTCTACGTGGAGGCCATTTCAGGGCCATGTTTCAGGGTCGCAATCGAAGTGCGTATAGAGAGAAGCCTAATATAGAGGCCTTGAATGGGGTTTAGGGGCCCATTATACTACATTTATAATAAGGAACCCCCATAGGTAACTATTAAGGCCCCTATATTACTGGTGACCAGAATCATGTCCTGCAGGCCTGCGTGGGATCTGTGCTTTGGGCACATAGCCGTTCCATGCGATGGGGCCTTTCAGGTGCGAGGCTTTGGGCCAACACGGGCTTGACATAAATTAAAAGCCGAAGCTATCAGTATCATTACAAAGGGGCTGATCATAGCAATACGATGATGTACCCGGTCACAGGGCTCGTGGAGCAAATGGCATAGATCACCATCATCATCATCATCACCACCACCATCATCATCCTTCTCGTCGTGGTCGTGGTCGTGGTTATCGTCGTCGGCATCGTCGTCATCATCATCCACGTGTTCGTAGTATTGTTCTCTCACTCTTGTTCTCATCTTTGTCATTTTCACCTTCGTAAGCTTATGCATCTTCACCATCGTCACCGTCATCATCATGGTCTTCATCATTATTATCATCATCATCATCCGTCGTTACCAGCATCCTTATCCAGCGATGCCTGCATCATCATCCTTCGTTACCTGCATGGTCATGATCATCCTTCATCTTCTTATATCCTCATCTTCATCCTCATCTTTAAACCCAAGACCCTGAACCCAACGCCCTAGACCCCAAACCCAGGCATCGATTTGGGGGTTTGTTTATACGACCCTTGCTGTTCAATATAGAGCCCTTATATTTATAAGCAATTCGGAGACTGCTGAAATGGACACTTAGTCCTGCATCGTCATCAAAAGAAGCGGCTGCAGGAGAGTCTCACGCGACTGGGCCGCGAAGGAGTGAACCGACTGTGCCTTGTCCTGGATTGGATGCAAGGGATTTTGGGGGTGTAGGGCTTGAGGGGTTTAGGGGTTTTGGGGTTTAGGGTTTTCGACCTTAAGAGGTTCAGGGTTTAGGTTCATTAAGGGGCGTGTTGAGATTCGGGGCACTTTGTGTACCACCACCACCACCACCACCACCACCACCACCACCACCACCACCACCACCACCACCACCACCACCACCACCACCACCACGATCATCACCATCATTCATCACAGTACAATTAATGCCACCGCAACCCAGACAACTGCTACCATTGTGATCACTACTGCTCCGGTTGTCATGTTGACAGCGACTTCCAGAATGCAAATGATACGCTAACCCCGAAGCCCTTAACCCTTAAACCTAAAACCTTAAACCCTAGAGCCCTTAACCCAAAACCCTTAACCCTAGAACCCTTAACCCAAAACCCTAAACCCTAGAACCCTTAACCCAAAACCCTACATCCTAGAACCCTTAACCCAAAACCCTAAACCCGAGAACCCTTAACCCAAATCCCTCAACCCTAAAACGCTTAACCCAAAACCCTATACCCTAAAACCCTTAACCCTAGAAACCTTGTAGTACAATAATGTTCATCCTGCGTTTCTTGGTAGCTGAGTGGATACACTTTACACTTTTGGGGATAATCTTACCCACTATCAAACTAAAAGTGTACAAGTTTTGGGGCTTAAGAACTCAGCAACTAAGGTTCCTTCTTAGGGTTTAGAGTTGGGAAGGCGTATTATTGGGGTTCTACAATAGGGTCCCGTTTGGGGGTATTGTTCAAGCAACTGAGGTTTTGCTTACCTTTGGTTAGTAGGGAATGGAAGAGTGGTAGTACTAGTAGTTACAATTGCACCCCATTCTTCCATTCCCTACTAACCAGGGGTAAGTGCAGTACCCTAAATGGTAGGACCCTTATTATAAGGACCCCAAATGAGGTGTTTCCTTCGATCCCGAAAGTGCCCCCAACAGCTCATCCTGTGTTTTGTGGGTCCTTTGCAGCCGTTGCCCGGGCTGGGACTTCTGCACAGGCGGTCGGCTGGCAAAGCTACACGAAAGTCGCGGGCATGAGAGGTGTTGTAGGGAGTTCAGAGCTTAAGAAGGGTTTAGGGTTTATAGTACTAAAACCTTACTTACCAAGTCCCCTGATCCTCCAAGTAGTACCCTAAACCAAACCCTATAGAGCCCTTTAAGGAACCCTATAGATCCCTTTGAGGAGCCCTTTAAGTAGTGGATCAGGCTCACCTGCAGCCAGGATCCTGTCTCACGCACCAGGGAGTTTCCGAAAATGGGGGGGCCCTAATCTCTGTAGGCCTTTGGGACATTTTACATTTTCCCTTACTGGGCTTAGTAGGACCCTATTTGCGAAAGGTATCCTAAATTGTGGGATCCGTACAAAAGGCACCCCAAATAATAGGGTCTTCATTGTAAGGACCCTAAATCGGAGGAGCCCCCATTACAAGGATCCCCAAGGAAGGTACCCCTAATTTTCATAAACTCTAACCCCTTATAGAACCCTTTAAAGGAACCCTTACAGTACCCTTAACATAAGATTATAGTAGCCCTTTAAAGGAACCCTTAGGTACCCCTAGTTTTCGGAAACTCCCGGACCAGACCCCGCTGCGAATGCAGAGAGAAGACGTGTCTTCCGGCAGTGCCCGGGGCTTGTGTTTCGACGTTTGCAAAAGGGGCCTGTGAGTTATATACCTTTTAAAGGGTTTATAAGGGTTGTATACTCTAAGGGCAATTATAGGGTTTAGTATGGAAGCCTTCATAGGAGTTAGCGGTTCCTTGAAGGGTTCCTTTTGAAGGGGTCTGTAAGGATATAAGGGCGATTATAGAGGTTTAGTATAGGGGCCTTACTCATTAGAATAGGGCTTTCGAGGTTCCTTATTATGATTATGGTATAGTGGTCTTTAAAGCCTTATTCTAAATATTAAGGCCCCAATATTATGCCGGTGTCGGGGTCGAGGGTTGAGGGTTTAAGGTTTCAGGTCTAGGGTTTAGAGTTTTGGGCTTGGAGTTCAACGATTAATAATAAGGTTCGGGTTGAAGATTTAGGCTTTCTGTTGGAGTCGGTTCTTTTGGGTGTGTGCGTCTACCCGAATTCGAACGGCCTGTCGATATGCCTCAAAACCCTCGCCCCAATATTTCTGGTAAGAGCCAGATGAGGCTTTCACACGGGCTCGTGTGAGGCCTTCCGTTTATGTTGCAAGTGCTCCATGTGCGGAAACTCCACGAAGCAGCCTGAAAGTAGTCACAAACAGAGTTTGGGGGCGTCGAGGCTTTCGTAAGTTAGGTCTTGCTAGCGGATAACGCAGCTGGTAACTCAGGCTTCTGCGTTGGGTCACTGATTCTGTCCGAACATGCCTCGGAGTCCCATACCCTACAAGCCAAATCCATCAACGCCTGCGCCCTATCATTTGGACCGAAAGCACAGCGCCCAGGGACAGCATGGAGACCTTGATCAGAGCCAGCCTATTAGGGTTATTTATGAGGTAACTATTCTTATAATTACTTATAACCCCAATTAGGGTACTTATAACCATACTTACTAAGTCCCCTGATCCTCCAAGTAGTGATCAGCACAGACGGCGTTGTTACAGTTGCCGTAGCTTCACAAGAGTCGCGGCTAGTTGTAAATCTTACGTCAGAGACTCCAATATCCCTTACTTAAGGAATAGACCTTCAATTGTAGTAGGATCCTTAATATGATTTACTAAGTATTGTCTTTAATTAAGGGTTATGGCTTCAAATATACTAGGATCCTTAATAGGATTTACTAAGTATAGTCTCTAATTAAGGGGATCTTTTAACATAATCGTAGAATCCTTAATAGGATCTACGCTATGGTCTTAAAGTAAGGGAATATTTTGCGCTCCTCAGCCGGCTGTTCGGCACAGGATGCTTGGAGCTTGTGCTTGCGGCGGAGTTCACTCAGGAGGCCGAGGATGATTCAGGGTAATGTAGGAACCTGATTAAGAAACCTTGGGGCTTTATTAGGGTTCCTAATATGAGTCCTACTGTTTGGGGGCTTTAGGCCCAGGGTTTCTTAATAAGTAGCCAGAGGTCCCAATACCCCTGAATTAAGGAATAAACCTTAAATGATAATATTAAGGCCTCTATAGATGCAGGTTTCTTCCTTAAGCAAGGGGTATAGGGCTCTTTGGGTACTGCCTGATGAACTCCTCGTCGGATGTGCTTGGGTTGCGGTACTTCTCCCAAACCCTAGACCCCAAGATGGATGATTCGTGTCATACTGAACTGCAGAAGCCTGTCTGTATGTACTCAGGGTTGGAGCTAGTTTGGGGATCATCCACCTTTCAGGGTTGAGGCCAGTGCAGTCTTGCCGGAAGATGATTGTTATTATGGTGGTTGTTGTTGCTACTGTTATTAGTGTGATGATTATTGGTTACTATTGCGAAGGGTTAGTCACGCGGCTTAGAAGGTAGCATGGCCGAGTAGCGTGTCCAGGAATGACAACAAGGTTGTGACGGTTGCGAATGCGATCGGCGACCGCTGTTCCGGTTTTGGGCCGTGTCAGGATCGCATCGTAAGAGGTGACGCGGTGGGGATTGCTCGGGTGGTTTGGGCTTGGATAATAACCCTAAACCCTAAACCCTAAACCCTAAACCCTACATCGAGCCTTCATGAGCCAGGATGTTATCCCAGAAGGTCTGAACCCCCAAACTGCCGACTGTAACCCTGGATCCTAGGCCTCTAGACTCTAGACCCTGAGCCGACATCCTAATCCCCCCAGAGACTCCATAGAGCCCCTTAGTTCAGGAGTATCCCTTAGATGATAATGGGAATCCTGACATGACTTAAAAAATATCACCTTAGTTAAGGGATGTTGGAGTCTCCGGGATCTCACAGCATCTCAGCATCGGCAAATTCCAAAAGCTTTGCTGCCCTGCGATCATTCGTGCAGGCTCTGCCTGTGCGTGTCCGAGCACGGCTGCGGACCCAGAACTTTCCCACTTAAGGGATTCCTGTTTTTCCCTGTTGGGGTTGCAACAACAAGGGTACAGGAAGCGCATTCAAATCAGTGTTAGTATATGGTTCAGGTTCCAGGTTGAGAATCTAACGGAGGGTCGTGAGGATCTTGATGCAGCAGCTGCTACGCCGAAAGTGCCGGCATCGACAATGACAAGCTACACCGGCAACAACAGCAACATCAGCAACACCGGCAACAGCTACTGCCACTAAATCGTCTAAGAAGTCTTGCGTCGTCATTATTCAAACTCGGGCTGCCGGGTCCTGGTGCGATGTCTCGGGCAAGCCTCGGAGCAAGAACTACTACTACTACTACTACTACTACTACTACTACTACTACTACTACTACTACTACTATATCACCACTGGCAGAAGCAGAAACACCCAGAATCACCAAAAAGACAACCTCCGAAAGCTGAACTTACAGTTGGTTAGTAGGGAATGGAAGAATGGTAGTAATAGTCCCTACCAACCTCTCCCTTAAACCCCAAACCCTTAAACCCTAAACCCTTAAACCCTAAACCCTTAAACCCCAAAACCTTAAACCCCAAAACCTTAAACCCCAAAACCCTCAAACCTCAAAGCCCTACTCCCTTAAACCCTAAGCCCTTAAACCCCAAACCCTCAAACCTCAAAGCCCTACTCCCTTAAACCCTAAGCCCTTAAACCCCAAACCTCGGCCACCCCGCAAGGTCGGGGCTTCGGCTGCCCTCAGCGCTTCGGCGCCGTCTCCGGGGCCCATGAGCCCTGCTAGCTCGGCCCGGGGGCTGAGCTTTTTTGGGGCTCCTAGGGTTCCTTTAAAGGGGTATACTATGAGGGATACTATAAGGATTATTAGAGGGTTCCTGGGGTTCCTTGTTGGGGGTGCCTACTATAGGGTTCCTATAAACAGGGTTCCTTTAAAGGTCTCCATTTAGGGTTCGTAGGGTTCCTTTAAAGGGGTCTACTCTAGGGTTCCTAGGGTTCCTTTAAAGGGATCTATATAGGGTTACTAGGGTTCCTTTAGCGGGGTCTATAAGGGTTACTATAAGGGATCCATAAGGGTACCATAATATAGGAGTCTAAATAATTACCAATACAATTTTTGGTGGTTCCTTGTTATAGTTATAGTATAATGGGCCCCAAAACCCTATTCTAACTAGTAAGGCCCCTATAGTACCTGAATTGTAGGGGCCTTAAGACTTAGAGTTGGGGTTCCTTTTGAAGGCTTCTTCTGAAGGCTTTAAGGGTTGCCACAAGGCTTAACTTAAGGGTGGAGTAGAGGGGCCTTAAGACTGAGAAAGGCGTTTTGGGGTATGATATTCTACCATACTTATAAAAAGGAGCCCCCAAATCTGGGCCCAAGAGTTGCAGCATGTGCTATCTTCTATGTTGCCACATAGTATGTATGACCTGTCGTTATGATACATTGTGCATTGCTTTACGGTTTGCGATTGTGTCGGCTTTGGGGTTGGAAGATCTTGGCCCCAGGGGGTTCAAGAGACATATGGGAGTTTCCGAACATTAGGCGTAACTTACAAGGATCCTACTATCTAGGGTATTATATTAAAGTCGAAACTCCCATTCGGTGGGTTTGGGCGAGAATTGAGGGGTGTTTGCGGGGTCTTGAGGGGGTCATGTGTAGTTCCTGGGCTGGTGGGCTTTGAGGTTCCTTTGTTGCACGGGGTGGTCTAAGGGTTTAAGTTCAAGTGTTTACAGGGTTTTAGGGTTCGGCGATGCGAAAAATGAGTTCGCTGGGAACGAACGGTTTCTGTCGGGTGTCCATACGTTGACTGTGACGATCCACATATCTGGATCCCTAGGTACGCCGAGTCCAGTATCTATGAGGGTTCAGGCACAGGACTTGGAATGCGCATCCATGTTTACGCTTGTGCAATGACATACATATATACAGTGCCAGACAAAATCGCCGTAGGGAAACAGATAGAGACTAGGTAGACTGGGTGCAGTCTTCAGTGATACTACCTTCTACCATACTTGTGCTTCTGTACATCTATTTCTTGTGACAGGTGTCCGACTTGATTGAACTTCAAACTGCATCTAAAAAATTGGACCATGAGCACAGCAAGATTCAT